ATAAAGAAAAAGAGGGTTACAGTTACAGTTACGCTCGCCAAGACAAAAATTACAGTTACACGTAAGATTAAGGCGTGGAAAAGTCAGAGCACGGGTCTTAACGTGCCAAAGCGTGCGCAAGCAAGAAACGCCGTGTAGCAGAAATTGTGATGTGCCCAAATTCATAATCTAAATCCTAATTGCAAAAAGAAATTTCGAATGAAGCGAATTCCGAGAGCCCACAGGGGCTCGACATACGTTAAAAATTCAAAAAGATTTTCCCGCGCGACGATCGTGCCAAAATTCTCTTTCCCCGCAGCAAAACAAGAAAGAAGTTATGACAACAGTTATCTTCCGCGCTCGCTAAGGCGTGATCAACTATCAACCGTCGTGGGACTATGCCAACCTCAATTTAAGAAAAAAAAGAAAAGCAAGGGCCCCCATGCAATCCAACGGACCATCCCAATTGAACCCCCGAAGTAGCCCTGCGCAAAAAATCGCGCAGTTACAGAAAACAGTTCGTCACAAGGCGCCTTGTGCATTCGATAGTCATAGCATGTCCAACACCGAATTTGTCCCCAACCCTGTCATAGGACTCCCCGCTGGCGAACCTGTTGAGGGCACACACCAAGACACGAGCAGGCTCAATCGGAAGTCGCATCTGCGTACACTGTCTTCCCAGGTGCGGGCGAAAACGATTCAACAATTCTTCAAACAAAGGTGAAGTCATACGGAAGTAGGATCTAAACCTATTATCGTCCTGCAGGAAGTGCGGATTGTGCATATCCCTCCATGTCCCCCTGGTTCTCTGCTTCACCCAAACCGATTTAGGCACTCCACTTGCAACTCAACTTGCTTGGATCAGCGCATATGTCAATGTCGTTGTTCAGGTATGATGAAATATGGGGACTGTGCTCACTGAAGACAGGCCATGACTCACAATCCGCACGAGCTCTCTTGCTCTCGCAGAAGGGCCCTGGCCTTTGCATTCTGACAGCAACCCACGATGGAGAACGACCTGCAGGAGCAAGAACAAAAAACAACCGAATCTCCTCATGCGTTGCATGTCCATCCGGGGCATGGCTGCCTCCATTGTAGGGTCCGAAGATGTGCTCGCTTCTCAACAAAGTCCCCTTTGCCACAAGGTTGCGCCTGCTCACCTCACCACTGCAACTCCGAACCCGCACAGGAGTATACAACGGAAAAATAATGGGTGCGGGCTCTTGTCTGCTCACCAGAGGCCCAAACTGAATGACAGAGCCGAGCACCATAAGTTACCTTCAAAAACTCGCCCATTCACAAGGACGAGCCAGAGGGACTTCGAGACGAATTATCTTATACCTCAAAAAAAAAAAAAGGTTGAAGGATTTGGGCCTCGCCCCGTGTGACCGCGCGAGGCACCTTTTTGGCAATTGGTAGTAAGTCCTGCTCGTGTCCTATTTGATTTGCTCCCACTGCGTGACCGGGCGGGGCAATACTTCACCAATTCACCCAAAGCGGGATTGCAATTTTTTTTTTTTTTGCTGCTATGCTCCCGCTGTGTGAGTATTCCTTTACTTACCCAAAAGGTCGGGAAAGGTATATCGTCGTCGGTTTAAGAAACAAGGGATACATGTTGTCCTCTGCCCCGGCGCTGCGCGCCTGCGGCAGTTGCGTCAAGGGAAGGGAAAAGGCCGTGTCGAAAAAGCGTCGAGCGGACGTGTGTGGATCGACCGAAAATTTATTGACGACGTAGTGGAGAAGGGCGGGGAGGTACTTGTCGTGAACAGGCAGATCATAAATGATCGAGAAGTGCACCAAGTGAACTGAAATATAAAGGAAAAATAGTGGAAACTACCGGTAGTGGAATGATGGAAGAGAACTCGTGCTTTTGTCATGTTGGCTGTTTTTTTTCTGATGACATTGCATCTCTTTTCTCACGCCGGCTGATGTTTTTTTGATGAAGTTGCAACTCTTTTCTCACGTCTGATATTGGTTTCTTATTTCGGACCTAGTGCGTTTCAGTTACTTAATCCTAACCATGGATTCGTATATCGGCCATGGTCGGGAACGGAGGATAGGTCTTCGTGGCGAGCACACCATTTCCCCCGGTCATCCCATCGCTTGTCCTCCTCGTCGTTTGTCTCCCCTATTTCGTCTTCCTCTGGCTTCTCCTCCCCATTCTCTGATTGGAGAAGCGATGAGAATGTCGGTATGAATGGTCGATCTTCCTCCCCATCCACCGACCCTGGTGTTGATTGCCCTCCAACTGAACTGCTTAGGGTTGAGTACTTCTTGACAAGGAGTAAAGAAGATGAAAATCGGATGAAAGAAACGTTTTCTTCTTGGCAGGGAGCAAAGGAGATGAAAATTGGATAAAACAAACAAATGTCTTCTACTCGCGCTCTTACCGTTCACAAAAGGAGTACCTGCTGGCGAATCTCCGGTGGTGCTGAAGAGGCTCGATCTGGCACGCTTCGTCGTGTTCCGTCTTTTCTTTCTGCTGCGGGGCCAAAATTTTTGCACGTCCTTTCTTACGTGCCACGTGGCATCGGTGTCACGGCGCTCTGCAGTGTAGAAAGCGAAAGAGTCGATAAGGCTGCCTAATATCCCATTAGTAAGAGGGTGAGGAGAGGAGGCCCTGGTGTTAATAACAGGTGTCGGATGGCGTTAGTAGGGAGATGGATTATGACGGAGGCATATGTTACGTAGTAGCCCGACGCTCTAATGCATATGATGACGCTCTGCAGAACATAAAAGCCGAACACTTAATAAGGGCCTCACCATACCACTCTCGAAATGTGAAAAAAAATAAAATGTGGCGGGTGCATCTGGCCATGTTCTAGCGGGAAGTTCATTCCCATTTTGCAAATTTCGAGAGTGGTGTGGCGATGCCCTAAGGTTGCAAGGTAGCCATTGGTAAGTGAGGAAAAGGGGGTCAATAATGACAAACACTGGCTGGTGGTGGTAGGGAGAGGGATGTGGAAGGAGGAGGCCTGTTTTGGTATCTCGACGCTGTAGCGCATGCGACGGTCAGCCTTGGATAAGGAGATGGCGTGTGCACGACAAATTTGTGCTCTGCGATAGGTATGGATATCCAGGCGCTCTGGTAGAAGGCATGCCTGGATGTCATCTGACGAGGCTGGCACTCCGGAGCCTCCGCTTCTGCCTGGCACTGGGCAAGTTCTTCCGGTGGGATCTTGCGCAGTGGACAGGGGCCTTCCTGTTGCCGGAAGGGCGTCAGAAGGCGGGCCAGGTAGGTACCACCAGTACTTGGCCCAGCTATCGATGCCGAGCCTGGAATGCCCCTGCGTGCCAATTTTCGCCGAAGCGCCAGTGTACTGTTTTGAATTTTTTTTGGCTGGCGCTTCCAGCCATTGTGGTCCAGTACGCCGAAGCCCTAAAGGCGCAGCGCGTTAACGGGAAAGCGAGGCGGCCGATAGCTGGGCTAAGTACTGGTGGTTCAAGGTCGTCTGTGACGTTTAGGTGCACGCCATCGGCAGTGGCATTGATTGCCATGAAGTACGGAGTTCGACATCCGGGCTGGGCCTTGGTGGTCTGGTCGGCCTTGTTTTCTCTGGCCGTCTTTTCTCTTTGCTTCTCTCTCTGTGCCTCCCGCTTGAGGATGATTGTTCTATGTTCGCTTAGGCCGGCAGTTGGAAGGATGACATCATAACCATAAACCAGCCGGCCTATCTTGGTCCATGGTAGGTCTGGAGTGCCTCGTTGATTCTGCGGGAATGTTTGATTGATTGATTACGGTAGCCTCAAAGGAAAGGAAAGAAAAGGAAGGTAGGGGAGAGTAGTACTGGGCGGGGCGAAGGGTCGGTAGGTCCACGAGTAGATGAATGCATTTGTCGAGCGGAGGGGGGAGAGAGGCACGAGGCAAGGTGCATGAGTTCGCAGTTCGCAGCCAGGAGGCTGCGCTATACCCGGATGCGTTTTGGCGCGCAGCCGGAACGCCCTTCTGTGGAAATGTCGTTCACGGCATTCGATGCGAAGCGGGGTTTATCGGGGTGGGAGCGGTCGGCGGGAAGGGTGCGGTCGCTGTGGCGAAAGGTACCGGTCACAGGGGCGGTGTGATGAGAAGCCAGTAACCGGCGGTTGGCGGAGGCGTTTGCGCGGGCCTTTTCGTGGACGGCGACCGGTTTTCCTTTTCGGGAAGGTCCGCTGGGGTGTGATGTGATGCGAAGGCCAATTTCGGAGGCCGGGTGGGCGGGCGAGGAAATGAGGCGGTCGGGCGCAGGGAGGTCGGTCGGTCGGAGGCCGAGGGTGGGAAAGGAGTCGGTGGATGTCGAGGAGAGGACGGTGGAGCGGCCGTCAGTATAGTCTCGGTATATATGATAACAGTATGGTAACAGTATGGTAACAGTAGCCGTAGGCGGTATGTTGGAAAAGCGTCGTGCAGCGCGTGCACGTGCAGAGTCGTATCGAGGTGCTGGGAGGTCGTATAGCACCCCGTGCACGCATAGCACCCCGTGCCCGTGCGTAGAGGCGTGCCGATGTTGGATTGGAAGGTCGCATAGTGCGGAGTGTGCGTAGAGAGCGGGATTATGCTTGTGGCGAGAACGTGAGAGAATACAGGCTTTTTTTTTTTTTTGCGTACCGGCTTCGCTGCACTACTCACCAATGTGTAAAACGGCGGTCGAATGACCACCGCGATTGCGGGAAGAGTGTGAGGCTTGTGGGAGTGTATGGCAAGCGGCCATGGGTGGAGGTGGTCGACCAGGCGTGGCGGCGGGCGAAGGGAAAGGCAATGATGACAGGTAGGAAAAAGATGGAACGAAAAAAGAGAAAAAAAAAGATGACTGGTAGGGAAAAAAGCGGAAGGGGAAAAGAAACGGAATAGAATGGAAATGGAGGAAAAAAAAAAGAAAAACGAAGTTCCGATCGGAACTTGTCTTTCTAAGAAAAAGGTTTGGCGACTCTCCCTTTTGTACCTTCATCCTCTCTCCCTCCTCCGGGCTGCGCCTCCGCGCTGTGCGCGGTACACAGTTCTTACGTACTTACTGTGAATACAGGCTTGCGTGCCGACGAGCCGAAGCTAAGGAGCTGACACAGCAGGAGAGGGAGGGAGGTGCCATCAGTCAGGTGTAAAATGATGTGCGATAGGTGTCGAGTGGACGTGGCCGGATTGAGCGAAAATTTGCCGACCACGAAAGGTGACGAGGGAGAGGAGAGACTTGTGGTTAAAAAGCAGATCAAGATGGAAGTCAACTTGCGGTGGCTGAAATACGTTGTAGCCTTTTCTATCGTCTCCATTGGACTTTTTGTTGCGTCGACGGTCCATTTTGGACCTGGCCCGTTTGAGATTCTTAACCCTAATAACGTCGGATCCGTAAATCGCCCATGGACGGGGACTCGTTCCTCCTCTTCCTCCTCTCTCTCCGGTATCTCCCTTGCCTCTCGCCTCGTTTTCTCGTCCTCCGACGCGGGAAGCGATACAGGTGTCGGCGGCGTCGATGGCCCTCCACTAGCTGAGCTTCCTAGGATTGCCTACTTCTTGACAGGGAGCATAGGAGATGGCAATCGGATGAAACGTCTTCTGCTTGCGCTTTATCATCCACACAACCAGTACCTGCTCCACATGGATCGCGCATCGCCGGCGTCAGAGAGACTCGATCTCGCGCGCTATGTCGCATTCCATCCCATCTTCCTGACGGTGGGGAACGTGCGGTTCATCGTGAAGTCTAATCTTGTGACCTACCGCGGTCCGACTATGATCGCCACCACTCTGCATGGGATGTCCGTTTTTCTCCGGAAGAAATCGAAATGGGATTGGTTCGTCAATCTCAGCGCATCCGATTATCCTTTAATTACCCAGGACGACTTTCTGCACGTGTTATCTTCTGTGCCACGTGGCTTGAACTTCTTGGAGCACTCCGGCGAAATTGCGGACTGGAAAATGGAACAACGAGTGCACTCGATGGTGGTCGATCCCGCGATCTACCGTTCGTCAAAGTCCGACTTGATTTTTGTCAAAGAAACGCGCGCCACTCCCAATGCTTTTCGCATATTTCAAGGCTCAGCCTGGATGATGCTGAGCCGTGATTTCTGTGAACACCTAATCTATGGCTGGGACAATCTTCCTAGACTAGCGCTTATGTACTTCGCCAATGTCGTCACTTCGCCCGAGGCCTACTTTCACACGGTCATTTGCAACTCCAGACAGCATTTCAACACTACTGTGAATACCGATCTGCATTTCGTCGCCTGGGATAACCCGCCCAAGCAGCACCCGTTGTCTTTGAATTCCTCCTTTTACAAAGGGATGATCAATTCCAGCGCTCCGTTTGCCAGGAAGTTTGAGGAGAACGAGACATTGCTAGACACCATCGATGCCGAGCTCTTGAGAGGGAGGAGGAGAGCGCATGTCGTGGTGGGTGGATGGTGTGCGGGGAACGAGACGGAAGGCGGAGGACTAGTAGCAACGGCATCAGCGGAAGTCGGTGCCAGCTCATCAGCTTCAGGAGGCGAGGCGAGAGCAGGAAACTTCCACGCCGACCCTTGCTCCGTTATAGGTGACCCAGTAGCCTTGAGACCAGGAGAAGGTGCAAAGAGGTTCGACAAACTGATACAGAGAGTCCTGGAACCGACTTATTTCCGCGGACGGCAGTGTGTATGACAGAGAACACAGAAGACGCAGAGAGAACGCTTTCCCTACCTTTATACCGTCGTGAGTACTTTGCCGCCTATCTTCGCAAGGGTTTTGCCCGATTGCCACGTGTCTTCTTCGTCACGAATTCTTGCCCGATTGCCACGTGTCTTCTTCGTCACGAATTCTTGTGAAAGATGGAAAACATGGTGCATTACAAGTTGCTCGCTCCCTACCTTGCCTCGTCCCTCTCCTTCCTGTGCTCTCTTTCTGTACGCTCGTTATACCTCCTCCCTCTCCTCTCCTCTCGCTCCCTACCTTCCCTCGCGTCCCTTTCGTTCTTGTGCTCTCTTAATGTACTCTCGTTGTACTTCCTCCGCCTGCGAAGGTAGTTCACCTTGACGTCTTCGCAGCTGACCCTTAAGTTCTGCCAACTTTGATCTCCACGCCGCTTTCTTAGTCAATACAGGCGGGAAAAAAATGTGTATGGACGCAGCAGGCGCGAATGTGGACGCATGCAACGCCATTATGCACAGGCGCGAATGAGGACGCATGCAACGCCATTATGCACAGAAGCATACTGGGCGGGCGCTTGCGCGTACGCGGGGGTTGTGAAAGTGAGCTCATGCTATATGCGGGTGGCTTACGTAAATGAAGGGAGGGGTCTTGATGTTAACTGGTTTAGGCATATTGATTGCTCGGTGAGAAAAGTCTGTGTGCGACGATAGTAGGATACGATGGTCTTTGAATATTCATAATTCGATTTTTCGGGGCGCTTTGGAGGTAGTGCGGTAGAAGGTGAAAGACATGGGGGGGTTGTGACGAGTCAGAGAAACGATAGTCCTGCGCCGCCTCTCGGCGAGGTGCCGTAGGTGAACGTTTCAAAGATGAACATGAGAGAGAGAGAGAGAGAGACGAGAGTTCTGGGTTCCTGGGGCCTTCTCACGGCGGGGTGGTGTAAGTGAACAGGTAAAGAGAGAGACGAGAGAGAGAGAGAGAGAGAGAGAGAGAGACGAGAGTTCTGGGTTCCTGGGGCCTTCTCATGGCGCGGATTCCTCTGTGTGTGTGTGTGTGAGAGAGAGAGAGAGAGAGAGAGAGAGAGAGAGAGAGAGAGAGAGAGAGAGAGAGAGAGTTCTGGGGTCCTGGGGCCTTCTCACGGCGAGGTGGTGTGGAAACTTAGTTTTGGAAAACTTCAGAAAGCTGGAGTTGTAAATGCGCGTTGGGAAAGAGGACGCTTGTGGGAGGGAGAATAGGACGGGGGTGGATGGTTTGAACGAGGTGGCTTGTCTCGAAAGGAGTTGATAATAGCCGAACTGAGCAATGGGCGGAGGACAATCAGCGGAGGTTGTTCAGCGCCCTATACAAGAAGAGAGGGAGGCGTGGACGTGCAAATGCTCTTCAAGAACTTCAACAATGTCGTGAAGAATGAGGAAGTTTTTAGCGAACATGTGTGCTCCCGTAAAAAGTTAAATGCGCATTCATCCAACAGTTGTCCATTATGTTTTTAGATTGACAAAAACTTTGGGCCGTTCTGCGACTCGCTCGCAGCGGGTACGCAGCGGCCATGTTGATTAAGAACCCAGCTCTTTTCTCTGTATTCCGTGGGTCTAACCCGCGTTCCTCAATGCGGAATATGTCTGTCTGTCTGTCCACTCTGTCTCTGCCTCTGTCTTTCTTTCGTTTCTTTCGTTTCTTTCTTTCTTTCTTTCTTTCTTTCTGTCTGTGTATTGTTCAACGTTAGCGGTGTTTCGGATCCGGGTTCGAACTCTCGCTCATCGCTCTCTCTCTCTCGCTCTCTCTCTCTCTCTCTCGCTCTCTCTCTTTCTCGCTCTCTCTCGCTCTCTCTCTCTCTCTCTCTCTCGCTCTCTCTCTCTCTCGCTCTCGTCTCTCTCTCTTTCTCTCTGTCTGTGTATTGTTCGAACGTTAGCGGTGTTTCGGAGGATCCGGGTTCGAACTCTCGCTCATCGCGCGTGTAATCCGCGTCTCGAATTGGAAGCTCTCTCTCTCTCTCTCTCTCTCTCTCTCTCTCTCTCTCACTCTCTGTGTATCGTTCCAACTTTAACGGTGTTCCACAGGACCCGGGTTCAAGGATGTGGAGTTAGATGGGGAGATATCCTGCCCGTCTGATCAGGGGCTTATCCCTCTTTCTCTCAAAGGGAATTTCATGGGCAATCACGGCGAAGATGCATGATCGGCGCAGATGAATAAATGAAGTATAAGAATGAGCGAGCAATAATGATTGCGACAGAAAGAACCCTTGGTGGTGATGATGAGAGGGGTGACAATCACTGAATGCGGATTGGAGAATGGCCTGGAGCTCGTGGAGGTTGCGCCTCTGCACAGGCGCCTGCTGCTGTTTCTCATTTGATCTGTGTTTGTACGGATCGTTGTTTTTGCCAGCTTGAGGAAGCAAGTGCCACGTCACTGATGATGTCATATCGTAACTAAGTGATCGTCGCGAGCGGTGCCTCTCCTCCTTTCCTCTCACGTTTCTCTGTCGGTGCATTGGCTTGCTCGCTCTGGTGCTCGACTGAGCGCTTTTTATTTGACGGCCAGGGGAGATGGACTGGGTGTGTATGAGACAAATGGAGGCACAGAGCGACATTGTTGAGCGAATACGTGCGTGTGTATGTGTTGTGTTGTGTGTGTTGTGTTGTGTGTTGTGGTGTTGCGTTGTGTGTGTTGTGTTGTGTGTGTGCGTGAGAGAGAGAGAGAGAGAGAGAGAGAGAGAGAGAGAGAGAGAGAGAGAGAGAGAGAGAGAGAGAGAGAGAAATCCCTCGTCTCTGTACCTTGGTCGTGGAGGTTGCTGTGCGTTGTCGATAACAACTGGTTTGTCTCAGTGAAGGACGGCACGTCTGACAAGGTGCATCTGCATTTCACGGAATATCGTGCCCAGCAGCGGACTGGATGCTTGCTGAGGAAGGATAGTCGGCTTCGCTCGGCAGCCACGTGTCAAAATTGACGTTTCTCTTTCTGATTGCAAGGTGCCGCTTGGCAGCGGGTCAGGTGGCACTGGCTTATATACCTTGGGACGCTGTTGTAGATTTGCCCAGTGATTTCAGGCGGGTAAGCGTGCGTGTTCTCCTCCCTTTTCTTTCCGTGTTTTTAGTCTTCTTTTTTTTTCTGTTCCTTTTTTTTCGTGTGTGCAGTGACTTGTTTTTTTCTCTTCAGCTATGGCAACCATTGCTTCGTTGTGCAATCGCATTTGACGACAATTCGCAGCGATCTAATTGCTTCATTGTGCAATCGCAATTGCTCCATTCCTTCATTGCTTCATTGTGCAATCGCAAATGCTCCATTGCTTCATTGCTTCATTGTGCAATCGC